CTTGCCGGAAGTTGGTGACAAGGGCTACGGTACGCCCGTCCTGGAGTTCGGTTACGCCTCTTGCAATACCAATCCCTCGTCCAAGGAGAAGTTGGACGCTTCCTTCCAACAGTGCTATCCCGCAGGTGGCTTCGTCGGTCCCGACGGGGACAAAGACACTGGACTGCGGCGGCAGGTTTACGTGGCTGGTAAGGACTCGCACTGCAGCTAACGTCGCTTTGGGATCTTCCGCCGAGGGAACAGGTTTCCGAAGCGTCAGCTTGTTCTCCCCAAGGTCGATGATGGCGCCGTATTCACACAAAAAGTCCATTCCGAACGTCTCTCGAACAGTCTTGCAGAACGACGAACTTGACAGGGCAGGTTTCACCATGGATCTCAACGCGAGCAGTGCACCTGCCGACAGGCGTAATGAGGTGTCCGCCGGCGGTTCGTATCTGTGGTCCATCCCACGACGTCGTAACTTTCCGAAGGCGACGAGAGAGTCTCCCACTCAAAACGGAGTAATCCGCTCCGGTGTCGACGAGTGCTGTCGCGTCGTGGCCGTCGATGATAACGTTGAGGTTGTTCGACACTGTTACAGAAACGTCGTTTCGGGGCGTTGCGGCGTTAGAGTGGGAGAGCTCCGACGATCTTGGAGGATCTTGGCATCGTTCGTCTTCGGCAACACCACCTCCCGGCATTGCCGCGCCTAGTTTTCCCGACGGGACGCAATGGGTGACAGGCTGTCTCGGCGAGACCGGCGGAAGGGCGATGGCGAGCGTCGGGGAGATGGCGAACGGAATACTCGGCGGGGAGACGACTCAGGAGTTGAAGAGCGGCGGAGGTAGTCCTCGATGTCCCGAGGTCGCTCTCCAAGACGTGGTCGAGGGTCATTGGGCGCGAACCCTCGTAGGCCGAGCTGGCGGTAGGGGCATCGTCGGTAGATATGGTCGGCTTCCCCGCAGTGGTAGCACAACGGGCGTCGATCAGCCGTCCTCCACACGTCGGTCTTCCTTGGCGCAACTTGTTCTGGACGAACGTGTGCCCGATCTTCCTGGCGTCGGGAATGCTGCGGCTCTGGAAGCACACGTCCGGGAGGCGCCATGTACGGACGCGGTGCTGATGGTGCTCGGCGGAGCATTTCGGCGTAGCTTACGGCTGGCTCCTGCTGTGCTGCTGCGGTGACGGCAACCTCGGGATGGAAAGCTCGGTGAACTTCCTCTCGGACGACGTCGGCGAGTGAGAGTGAGGCTGGGCGATCTGCAGCAGGTAGAATCTTCCGGAGCTCTTCCCGGACGATATCCCGGACGATATCCCGAAGGCTGTCGACACCGGTGGTGCTCAGGTCCGGAAGTGTAGCTGCGACGGTTGGAGAAGTAGGCGCGCCGGCGAGTCGGTGGTAGTGGCTTGCTCGGGCCGTCAGTGCGCGCTCGATGTTCGTGGCTTCACTCACAAATGCATCGACGGTCGTCGGGGGATTGCGAACCAGGCCTCCAAAAATTTCTGCCTTGACGCCTCGCATGAGGATTCGAAGTTTCTTTTCCTCAGCGGCCTCCGGGTCTGCTCGGGCACTTAGACGCAGAACATCCTCTACAAAGCTGGTCAGGCTTTCATTGGGGCCCTGCACCCTTGTTTGAAGCAGGTCCTCTGCTCGCTGGCGACGATGGTGGTTAATGAATGTTCGTTTGAGTTCGGCGACGCAGGACTCCCATGTGGGGAAGGAGGCTTCGTGGTTTTCGAACCAGTGCCTCGCAGTGCCTTCAAGCGAGAAGTAAAGGTTGTGGAGGCACTGCTCAGTCGTCCATCCGTTGTGGCGGGCTACACGTTCGTAGTGTCGCAGCCAGTCTTCGATGTCTTCGTGGATCTCCCCGTGGAAAGGCGTCGGAGTCCGGGGTGCGACGGGCAGGACGACGACGCTGGCGGTGGACGGGTTCTGCGACGACTGGCTGTCCATCGTTGGTCTCGTTGGCTGCTTAGTCTTGGGCGGCAGAGGTCCGAATTCCGGGTGTAGGCCTTGGGTGCGACGACTGAACCGGATCTCGGAAGTGCTTTCGTTGGTTCTTCGTGGACTAGGCGTCGGACTTGGACTGCGGGCCCTCGGAGGGGTACGCGGCAGGGGCATGCGGTACCCCGCACCTCCACCAAAATGTCACGGGTGGTGACCAAAAGAAACAATAAATACACAGAAAGAAATAGACGTTTAATGTGGCGAACTTGTGCCAAAAATAAAAGGAAATAGAAAAATAACAACAGAGCGTCGCGGGCGTCGAAGGCGGCGAAGCAGCAAGGTCGAACGCTGAGGCGAAACTGACTCGACAAGGTCGCGGGCGGCCTCTTATCTAGAGTGCGTCGCTATCTCGAAGATTCGGCGAAAGCGGCTCGAGCGTCGCGTGATCGGGCGAGAATGAACACGCACTTTCTAGAAAACAAAAGCAGGAATAAATGAGAGAAGTTACATGCGGTACATGAATAAACGAGAACTTTCTGGAGGTCCGTGACTGAGCGTTGCTTTCTCAGCCCTGGGCGCGGCAATATGCTCATGCATGCCAGTTTAATTTTTTCAAGTTTACTGCAATGTAGATATTAACATTCACCAAGTCACTGTTTTTATTTAAATGCACCAAGCTCGCATGTCCACCATCCCGCTTTGGAAATTAGCTTTTCTCCTATGCATGCGGCGGCAATATTTGTACTTTTCGAAGTGTAGACGCAGTGCATCGGTGCTCAGTAAGAAGCGTGCTAAACCGGGCTCACCTGCCACGATTTAAACTTTGCAAAATATGAATACCGCAGTTAATTATGACCGGAATATTGATTAGCGTATTGTTCAAAACTACTATTCGAGTATTCTCAGAACACTAATATTCTTATTCATTAAAAAGTTGATTATTAAATTTTTGTTAAAGGGGCCCTGCAATGACTTTTTGACTGGTTTTTTATTGCACCAAACCTGAGCGCACTGAACGTAGTAACTTAATCAAACTTTTCTTTTCTCAAATTTCGCTTTATTTTAAAAGTTATAGGCGAATTAGAATTACAAAAACAAGCAAAAAATAACCTCCTTCATGACGTAGTAGGTCCTGGCTTGAGTGGCCGTGAACTAGCGGAGGGGTAGTGAGCTTATCGAGCGTTCACGGTTGCCGCACTCCGGGTCAACGGCTCGAGAGGGCGCCACTAAAGCATATGTTGGATAGGCTTTATGAAGCGGGCGGCCGGGGCGGCTTGCAATGCATTTGCTGCGCGGTTAAAGACTATTTCGGCATAACACTTCATTGGCCACAAACAACAGCAAACACGGGGTAAAGATCAGTTCAGAACGAGAGCCACTTCGCGCTGCCATGCCGCCAAATGACCTAATCGCCAGCAGGGCCCGCGCCGAAGGCCTTTGGAACGCTCGGAACCGGTCGGATCGTTGAGCCGGTATACGACCGCAGCGCCGCCGCGTACATCCGGGGCTTTTCTACGCTGGCCGTTCGTCGTAGCCTCATCCCACTAGTTCTTTCTAGTATGCGCCGTTTTTTCCGCCGCTTGGTGGCGGGTATGTCGACGGGTCTTCTCTTGTTTCCGTACTTTATAAACTGCATTTGTTTCTTTTCTGATCTGAAATACTGAAGAAAAACTTCTTTTATAAATAATTGAAACGGTTCGCGGCCACTTATATTTTGTATTTCGACTACAAAAAATCTTTTAGCGGCTCTGACCAGTAATAAGCCTAGGACCAAACACGTCACATTTTGCGCGCTTTCGGTACCGAGGGTCGCCCTCGTCGGTGGAGGTAGTTTCCGCGTCATCCGGTTAAAATATGACGCACTGATATTTAGTTACTCTCTCCGTGCCCGCTGGCTTGCCCGAACCCCAAGAGACGTGGAAACCGCAAAAAAGGTAGTTGCTTAAATATGATTGCAGGGCCCCTTTAAGTATTTAGCGAAATAGTATGCCTTTTTTCAGTCCCTGATGTTCGCTGTGGCTGCCTGTTTGTTTGTACCTGAAAAGAGTTGCTTTTTTCTCACCCACCCTGTTGGTAGGAAATTTTTTTTAAATCTTTGCTGAAACACTCGGTACTCTTTGTATTGGGCAGTACCTTGTGCGACCTTGAGGCCACTTCATTTGGTAGTCGAGGGGTTGTTGACCACTTGCCGTGACCCATTCGACTGCACTTTCGAGAAACGCAGGGTGCATTGCCATAGACCCTGTTTGAAATTCAGTCTGGCAACTTTGATCACTATCATCATCTCGGTGCATTGCATCTGAGCCAAACTATTGGCAACCCTTCTTGAGGCTGATTAAAGGTGAAGTTGAAGATTCTACCAACTGGAGGATACATCGGGTCCATGCGTTCGCATTGTCAGTACAACAGGACGTTTGAATTAGATGCAACGACTGCGTAAGCGTTTACTTTGGAGTGTGGCCTGGTCAATCTCCTCGTGCAAGTTTGTTCTCCTCGTGCAAGTCAGTTCTCATCTGTCACTGATGTGCGAAAGGAACAGTGCCTGAGGAAATACGGTTTCACGATCGTTGTTAGTTTGCCGAAAGGGAAACTGGTTTTCGAGCCACCAGACTGCACCAAATTTTGAAGAGGGTCCATTTCGATCATAATGGAGAAAACCTGAGACTGTGGTAAAAGCAGGGAAACGGTGTCGGAGAAGAAAGACAGAGGAAAAGAATGTCTCAAACTCAGCTACTGCGTTTATTTCCACAATGTCTTATATACCCACAATCTAACCACCGACCACCCACGTCACAAGGTCAACTTTTGTTATCTATACAGTACTACTATACAGTACTACCCACTTATAGATAACAAAAGTTGACCTTGTGACGTCGGTGGTCGGTGGTTAGTTTGTGGGTATATAAGACATTGTGGAAATAAACGCAGTAGCTGAGTTTGAGACGTTCTTTTCCTCTGTCTTTCTTCTCCGGCACCGTTTCCCTGCTTTTACCACAGTCTCGGGTTTTCTCCATTATGATGAACATCCACCAGCTCGCCTGCGCACTCACAGTTAGTCCATTTCGGGTGGCAGGGCTGAGGGGAGCCTTCAGTCCCTGGGCGTCCTCTTGGACCTGGGCCTGCTGTGGGCCGTCGTGTGCACCGGCGCCACCTTGAGGGCTGTCGAGGAACTGGCCCTGTACCTGCGAGACGTCTGCTTCACGGAGGTGCGTAGCACCACGCTCCGTGGTTCTCCCGACACGTGCTGCTACGGGAATTCAATGTATTGTATAGTGGAGACACTCATTTTTACGAAGATGTTTTCTCGAAAACCTGGCTGGTTGTACGAATTACTTTTTGAATGCACCCTAATATGGCTGGCTCCTACCAGTTTCCGGTTTTGCACTTCTGTCATGGCGGAGCATTGCCTGAGCGCCGTGTCGGCGTTTGGCTGGAACTGTTGCCCTCGCCGAACGTAACACAAGTCTCGGCCGATCGTCGATGCGGCTCTGGTGTCTGACCTTTGCCTCTTGGTCTGCATGTAGGCATACGGTTAATGTAATCATCTAAAGGGAAAGGTCTGGATGCATTTCGGCCGCTTTAAAACGGCAGAGCGTGGACACCGGTGGTTCTGATGAGACCACATGGCTGGCAATTCTTTGATATACTTAAAGAAGCAGGAAAGCACTTGCATGGTCTGTATTTAGTGTTTTTCTAGATTCGTTTAGGAGGAAAATAGCATTATGCATTGTATGAAAATTAGTCAGGGTGTCTAGCGACCGGGAAAACCGGTAATTGTCAGGGAAATTTGAATTACTGGGAATTGTCAGGGATATTGTCAAAAAGTGAGCCCAGTCAGGAAAAATGAGCCGAAAATGCCATCGAGTGCCCTGAGTAAAGACTTGGGGACAGAGAAATAGGCAATAAATTCTGCTTAGAGTGGACTGCTGTCTCTTCACCTGATATAGAGTGTGCTGCCCGACGCAAAGGGAACAGCCGACAAATCCGGTCCAAGCCATGCATTGCATTGGATTGGATTGGATGGGATTGAGGGTGTGAAACTACGCTAGATCCAGTTAAAGCCACTAGATTTAGTAGCAAATGGGAAAGCCGCAGACCCCAATCCAATCCATGCCTTAAGCCAAAAGTATCTGAAAGTGTGCATCTGGTGGCCATGCTGCCATTCTGTTATTGACGTGTATGTTTGAGCATCGTGTTTTCAGTGTGTTTCCGGAAGTGGCCTCTTCACTGACGATGTGGGCGGCAAGAAAGTGCTCGTTTAAGTCGGACTGGACGAACCCGAATATTTCGGAATACAGTAAACTTTCGTTAGTTCGACCTCGGTTAATTCAACTTTTCGTTCAATTCGATCATGTTCAAAAGTCCCGGCGAGCGCCTTTACATTTCTATGGAAGGAAACGTTCGATAGTTCGAACTCGGGAAGACTCCGCATTGGATAATTCCACTGATCTCTATGACAATTGCTGGATCGTGTTTGCCCGCTCCGCAAATACGGCCACTGGCGGCCATCTTTTTGGTAGAGCTATATTACCTCTAGCCAATGTAAGCTGCTGCAGCCACTATCATCCATCCATGGCAGACAGCATTGTGGTAGTTGTGGTGGCAGGCTGTTATGAAAATAGCGTGCGTGATATTTCGTGCTTGATTGAAATTGTTTGACGAAACATATTTTTGAAACCCGGCGTGAGCGGTAGCCCGATCTTTGAGGACCCAGTGAAAGTTTCACGAAATCGCAGCACCGGGGAAAAGCAGCACAGCACGCATCAAAAGTCGCATCGAAAGAAGCATCGAAAGCATTGAAAGCAGACGCCGGTACGGAGTCTGTTTTCGATGGGAGCTGCGCTGCTTTCCCCCGGTGCTGCGCTTTCGTAGAACTTTCGCCAGGTCCTCAAAGATGAGGCTACCGTTCACGCCGGGTTTCAAGGATCTGCTTCGTTTAACAACTTTACTCGAGCACAAAATATCAGCCACGGTACAGTGTACTAGATCTATGGCTATTTTATGGTAGCCTGCCGCCATTGCGCTGTCCGCCATATTACTATGATGGCTAGAGATGATATAACTCTACCAAAAAGATGGCCGACCGTGGCCGCATTCCCGTCCATAGGTGGAGCTGGTCAAACGCGATCCAGCAAATAGACATAGAGATCAGTGGATAATTCGTCCCGAGCGAATGCGCGCGGACTCACACTGCACTCCACCACGGCAGAAAAACCACCAACGTACAGCGAAACACGGGCCCTCTGCTGTAAAGCCAAACGTGCGCAAGTATGCGCCTGCTCTTCTACACTGTTGAGATGGATCGTAGCGAATGACACTAGCCAGCGCAACCAATCTGGCGTGGTGTAGCGCAAAGAACATAGCACGTGATCGGGCGTGGAGACAGCGCGCGCTCTGAAAGCGCTTTTCTGTAGTATCGTGTGCGGTCTACCTTGCACGCCAAAAAACGCAAATTCTATTTTCGTTTTCTTTTTTTTGTTGCGACGGTTTGGTTGTTTGGCGCCAAAGTCGGCTAGTAAAGCTTTCTCAGCGCGCGCTCTCAAAGCGTTTTTCTGTAGCATCGTGTCCAGTCCATCTTGTGCGTCAAAAAGCACGGGTTTTCTTTTCCCTTTTTTTTTTGTTGTTATTTTTCTTTGTCGCTGATGGTCAAGCTGCCGGCGCCGAAGTCGGCTCGTAAAACTTACTTTTTCTTTCTTTTCTTTTTTTTATGCTCCATTTTGTGGGGTCTTGACGTTTAGTTACGTTGCTCTCTGGAGCATGCCTTTGGACGTCCGTTTTAAGCGCAGACGGCAGCAGACCATCTGTGAGTACTTTGGACAATAAAAGAAAGTTTAATTTTAACCGTTTTTCTGTCCTTTTTTTAATTCGATCATTCGGATAATTTGACCAAACTTCAAGGCCCCGTCGAGGTCGAATTAACGGAAGTTTACTGTATACAAGTTGGATTAAGCGAGTGCAAAATGATCCTCAAAGTGCTCAATGCCTTGTGTTGATTATTGTGTTCTTTCTTTCTTCGCTTCTCTATGACTCCCCCATTTTCTTTCTTTCTCTCTCTCTCATTCTCTCTAATGTCGGCACTTAATATTTGTCGCTTTCTGCTCTCGTCTTCACCTCTCCCTGCCAGTAGATAACCTAAGAAAGTCCAGCACTACGGCATTGTTAAAGCACTTGCGCAGCAAAGGTCGACTACATTGCATTGATTGTGCTCTCAATCTTACTCAGGGGATCCAAGTTATTTCCACGGGTCTCCCACGAATGACGAGGTGACGAAACAAAGAATGACTGAGGAAATTGAAATGTTTAATGGGGCAAACTTGTGCCCAAAACAGAAAGGAAGCAGAAGATAACAATAGAGCATCGCGGGCATCGAAGGGGGGAGACTGACTGCGGCTTGCCATGCGGAGCCCCTTTTGTAGCCGCGTGGGTATCTCAAACATTCGGACTAGAACGCTCGGCGCGTAGAACATTCGTAACTCAAACCGATGAGAAAGTTCTCAGATTTGCAAGAATGCCAAGTAGAAAGAATAAATAAAAGAACATTCCGCTGACTGGAATCGACCCCAGATCCTCCGCGCGACAACCAAGCACGGTAACCGTTCGGCCACGTACACGCTCGCTCAGCGATGTGCATGACAGTACGACGTGACAACACAGATGGAAGGATGCTGGACGCCACTGGTTTAAACGCTTTTGTACAGTGTGTCCCCCCAAAATATTTACCGTTTTTTTCACTGCGAAAGTGAAGTGTGCATTGCCGAATGCTCAGTCTCCGGCCAAGTGCATTGCTAGCGGTCCAGACCAGGTGGCAAAGTTTCAGAACTAACTGTTATCTCATTCAAAAGTTATAAGTGATTTTCTAAAACTTTTAAGAAGTAAAGGGGTCCGGTTTTCGGTAGTTTGCGCCATTCAGCCCCACAAAAGTGCTCGCTGGCAAAATTTCTGAAATTTGCTCGTAACTTTTGAATAAGATAACGGTTTGCTCTGAAACTTTGGCATCTGGTTTCTATCGCTAGCATTCCATTTGGGTGGAAACGGAGCGTTCGACGATGCATAGGTAGTTTCATTTTGCAATTAATAAAGACCACGGAACAGTTTTTATAGGTGACACCCTGTACAAAGCCTTTACTCTGTAGCAAGACAGAATACATTTTGGAACGCGGTCCGTGCCGTCGGCTTTCGTTCGTTGAAGGCCGCCCAAAGAATCAAGCTTCCTCACTTCCTTCGTACGACGTCCTTCAGCGCCTGCAGTTCCCTGTTGGGGTGCAGTATGAGGCAGAGAGGGTGAAGCAGCTGGTCCAGGCCATGGGTTCCCAGGACTGCCCTCTCCTGCACGTGAGTAGTCGTCCCTACCCTCCGGCACCCTCTCGTCAGTACTCCCCTTTGCTTATGACAGACCGCGGCAGATGCTGCGAGCCGATCCTAGCCAATCCGGCGCCGGGAATGTATTCATAAGAATACAAATAGCATGGCAATGTGGAACCAAAAAAAAATGTTCCACGAAACAACCATCTGCCTAAAATTTTAATGATAAAAATTAATTTTCATCATACGGGTGAAGTCGGTATGCACTGAAAGCGCTTTCACAGCATTTTTTTTTATAAAGTTTGTCGCAGTCTTTGCAGTTTTTTTCATCTTTTCTGGTTACACTGATAGAACCTGAGGGAGAGGAGGAGCCAAGATCGCGTGGAGACGTCGGTGCGGCGAGCTCTGGTCAGAATGATTCCTGGGTAGCTGCAAGAAGCTCGCTGCTTTCGTCTCTACTCACTGTTCTAGCACGTACGAAAAGCAAGTCTAGACAAAGGTTTTGCATTTGCTTACTAATCATTGCAACAGAAGATTGACCACCTCGATGTTGCCAGTCTTGGCTTTTTTTATACCGGACACATAGTCTGGAACGTTCTGAGTGGGAAAGAGCGATACGTTACCAGATTCTACTAGAACGTTCTAGAAGAGTCGCGAAAGATAAAATGAAGAACTAGGCTAGTGGGGTTCAAACCCCATGGCTTTGCCTGGGAGTTGCACGCATCCCTTGTTGCTGTACTCGTCCCCAAAGTGGCGCGACAGTCAAGCAGCATTGGATTGGCTTTGACGGCTTGTGGCATCCCCTGCCGTTGGTTGAAGGCGAAACGGAGCACAGTTATGCCGCCACTCATGCTGTTGAGTCTTTGTTGATCCGTGATAGCAGTTTCTAATGTGTGGCGTTGCATTCGGTCCTACGAAGTGGACCGACAAGTCTATGAAGCAGCAGTGACGTTTGTTCTCTTTGACCTAGTACTAATTTTCCAAGCTCGCAACGAAAGCTTGAACGTGTTGTTACTAGATTGGTTGTTTAACTGATAAAGTTCCATGCTTGTAAATGTCCTAGCTGGCCGCTCTGTACTTGGGTTAGCCCGGTACATTCTCTAACTACTGTAAAACTTTTAATGTTCGCGAGCCCTTAATTTTTCACAAATTCTGCGAATTGAAAGATTAAAAATTTAGGGGCATGCGAAAATTTAGTCATTTAAGGGTTTCAATGCAGGCGTCTGGAATTCGCAAAATTGAGTGGCCGTGATTACGTATGTCGTCTGTGACTGATTCGTGAAAAATAGGGGACGTGAAATTAAAGAGTTTTACAGTATATGGGGTATGAGCCGAGCAATGATAGAGAGTGTTTGGAAGTATTTCTTTCCAATTTCTAGGGTTGTGCGAATATTCTAAATTTCGAATAGTAGTTCTGAATAATACACTATTCGATATTCGCTTCGAGAAGAACTGCACTATTCGCGTTTTTCGAAGTGTTGGTAGCGGCGGGTTATCCCCGTTGAGTGCGCTTCTTACCAAGCACCGGTGCGCTGCGAAGAAGCAATACCCGAGGGCGAGAGCTCTGCAGGTGTTGCTTCTCCGCAGCGCACTAAGCTCGGTAAGAAGCGCACTCAACGGGGTAACCCGCCGCGATAAACGCTTGGAAACGTATGAATATCGTAATTGCGTGCTTGGAAGTAAGGCATACATTCAAAGCGGGATGGTGCACCTGTGCCGATTGTATTTGAAAATAAATTAAAACTTTGTGAATGTGTATATCTACATTGCAGTAAAAGTTTTAAAATTAAACTGTTATGCAAGACTATACTATGTTAGGTAGAGGTGCCCTTACAACCTGCATTCATCATGCACGATTCATTCTTTTTTAATTAACTCGAGATTAAAGGAAGACTATTTTATAAAGCAAGATTTGTAAATTCACTCAGTTGGGCCATCTCTATAGGATTCATTTTATGTCAAATCCATCGTTTACTTGCCATCGCAAGACAACAGACCTTCTGAGGTCACAGTTCATAAATATAGAAAGATTAAACTTAGCTTATAAATTAGCAAGTGGAACAACCTTCACAAGTTTAGCTGGATTTTCGTCTAAGCATTATACAATGGTAGTGAAAGGCGTAGAAAAACTATTCGGTATTCGAATCGAAAATATTCGGCCGAAACCACTATTCGCTTCGAACTCAGAATCCACTATTCGCACAAGACTGCCAATTTCTTATAATCATTACTTTGGTCGCACCATCTGCTACGAATATACGAGCCTTTTAGAACAAAGCAAATGTTCTACTTTGAGTCCAAGACAATGTGACTAAAATTTCATAATTTTGTATAAATGCCTTCGTGAATTAATTTAGTGCCCCGGTCTCATGTCACTCAATCATGTTTGCGTTCTTGAACAAATTTTATGTCCTACTCATTAGGTTTTTTGTTAATCAAATAGTCCCATTCAGTCCCATGACCTGCGCACAACATTTGGTAGTTTGATTTTTTAGCCCTATGTTCCAAGAAAAACAACTGGTCGCCGGATAACTTGAAAAACATGCTTTTCGTGTAAGACTTATCAAAATATTGGGCACTGGATAAAATCAGCAGTTTGCATTAGGTCCTTATTTCAAACTCTTTGTTCACATTCTGCCCATTGAAAAGCATGACGAAAAACTTTTAGCCTTTCCACTCTCGTGAAGAAGGAAGACCTGCGAAGCTGTATTATGGTAGAAATGAAGTATTTATAAATGTAAGGATTAAGGTGTGGTTGGGTAATTGGTTGTGACAACCGTACTGTCCCTGGTTGTCTTTGTTATACCACATCAACCGCCGAACGCTCATGAACAGGAGTCGAGGCGCCACTAGTCGTTCCTCCAACACGTTCAACCTCGGTAGGTGCTTCGATACAAGTGGGTACTTGTAGCCGTTCACAGTCGCGAACAGGGGCACCGCGCCTTTGAGCGGACAATCTCGGCACGTTCTGCACACCGCTTTTTTGTAGACGTCCGCTGACTTCATACACTGCTGCAACGCACACGCGCTCGTTTCCCGATTCTTCTTGTCCGACACGCCGCCTATCATGGATACGTCTACGGCGAACCAGAGTCGGTCGCACACGGCGCACGTGACGCCAAACGGGTTCTCCACGAACTCCCTCCGGGACCTCGCCATCGCACCCGGGAACTGTTCAGCCGGCGTGGAGTGCTGTCGTCGCCGGGCCTCGCGCTTGCGCTTGGCTTTCGTGGCCCGCCGGCGCCGTTTTCATTGCTGGTTCTGTTCTCGGTGGCGGCTTTCCAGGCAAGCGATGTGCTCTTTTTTCGCAAGGGGTCTGAAGCGGTGGACGCAGTGGAAGTCGAGGCGACAGCAGTTTCGCATCGGTTGCGGACTCATTCGCGCTGCTGCGTACGTCGCCGCCAGTCTTCTTTTCCCGAAAGGGCACGCGCCCGACCCAAACTGCAAATATATCATCTATGCAGATGACACTAGCATATTGTTTTTAGACAGTTGTGAGCAGAGCCTAAGAAATAAAGCTAATGCATTTCTTTTAAAGTTGAAGGCATGGTCAGAATTAAATTGGTTAAACATTAATGTGTCAAAAACAAAAGCAGTCATGTGCCGACCTCGTGGTTCGGGTGAGAGACTTTCTACACCCCTCAACTTTGGATCTTTAAGTATTGAGTTTGTACACAGTATAAAAACGCTTGGAATTATTTTTTCTGAAACCTTGCTATGGAATGATCACATTAAATATCTTTGTGCTAAACTTGGAAAGGTAGTAGGAATTATGAATAAACATAGACATGTTCTTCCCACGAGTGTAAAAAGGGTGCTATACAATTCATTATTCTATTCCCATTTATGCTATTGTAACTTTGTGTGGGGCAATACATCGATGTCAAATTTAAATGCGATACATTTACTCCAGAAAAACGTCGTAAGAATAATTGCAAACGTTCCTTACATACATCCAACACAACCATTGTTTAAAATTTACAAATTCTTAACATACGTCAAATGCATGATTATCGACTGACACTCTCGTATAAGTATGCGGCACATGGACGTAACGATATAATTTTTGAACTCGCTGATTTAAAAGAAAAAAGTTACTATTACTCATCTAGACATCGCCAGCCTTGGCAGATTCCGAAATGCAGAACCAATTATGGTAAGCAGAAAATGAGCTACACGTTACCTATGTTATTAAATGATTATTTTATTCGGAATATAGATGTTATTCAGCTTTCGAAGAATAATATCCTCAAATTGTTTTTTCTTATATCTTGATCGTACATATGTTACTTATGATCATATACAAATGCTCAAAAAATGAAATGTTCATTGTAAATACATTTATGTGTCGTGTCGCAGCTGCTGAATGGGGGGTCTGGAGCCTTCCTCAAGCTGCGTTCATGCAGCTTTTTCTCTGGCCTCCCATTCACCACATGTATCTGTGGTGATGAATAAAGTTATTATTATTATCCTGAGTCTAAACCAAAACTGATGCTCGTCACGTGCATTTTTTCATCGTCCTCGTCTGTTTTTCGCACTGTTTCTTGCGATGAATTCCCACCAACATGCCCAACTATCCATTCTTTTTGATAGCTGGAAAAGTCGCCGCCATCTACGAGCGATGGCTGCAACCAGTCTGGTTCTGTGCTTGCCGCTGTCGCTTATAGATGGTGGTAGCTGTCCAGAGGTTTGTGTAGGTTTATGTCGACAAGTGTTTGGTACCAGACACGATCCTGAGGAACCTAGCCCTTAACAGCTCTGCTGTAAAAGCCCAAGCATTCACCTGGTTTCTCCACACCGCATCTCCTCCCACACAACAAAGTCCATCTGCTATGGTCACCGTCACTGCGGCAATGAAGCATCTGCTGGATAGACCCGCACATAAACTCGGCATATGAAGCCAGCAATAGCTGACGGCATTTGCCGAATGCCGTCTGCTAACCGACAATGGGTAAGAGGTTGGCGGAGTCTCTCCTTGGTGGTTCAAGCTAGGCCTAGAAATATACCTTGCTACGCACTGTCACCCCTTGCTTTGCTCCGCTCCGCTCAAGGAAAATTGATGATATTATCGGGCCCGAGCTTGCACCAAGCCTCATCAGAACCACTAAGGGTTTGTCAGACGACTGCTTCTCGCTCTCGGCGTCACCCCTGCACCGGTACGTTTGGCTTTGGCTTGCATCACCACGATCACTCTAGCAGACAATATTCTTAGAATGTTGTCTGCTTGCTGGCTTCAGTGTCTGCATTTACATGTACAGTAATCCCTCGTTATAATGAAGTGACGGCAAAAAAATTTGATAAAAACGGTAATTCGATAAAAACGTGAGAGCCCTAAAAAGCGTAACAGTAACCTTGAAAGTCCACAGCAGCAATGTGGAAGGCTTAAAGCAAATATGTTTTCACTGAAACAAACCTTGCTGATGATCCAGGCTTACAGAGGCATGAGAAAAGATAAGAGATCAGTTTGCCCGGCGTTTTTGCCAGGCATTAGAAAAGCCTCCTCCAATTGCCTCAAGCACCGCATAAGGCTGTCATCGCCGCTGCCGCACTCCACCTTGTTGCTAAGAAGACGAAGCATGTTTCGCATTTTTCCAGTCGTGGGTACCTCTTGGGGTTCCTCATCCAACGGCTCTTCGTCTTTGTCCTGGCCACACAAGGTCCACGATCTCCGCATCTGTGACGGGAGAGACAACAAAGATGTCCGCACCCCCCAGGCGCGAACGAGTCGAAGCCGTCTTCGAGAGTTGCACTGGTGATCTCGTGCACGGTTCTGTAAAGGTCGTTGCAGATCTCTGTGTCATCCGCTAGTACATCAAACATGCGCGTGGGAAAAGCCGTCGACAGCGTCGATGCCGGGATGTTGGAATTCTTTCGCAATTGCCAATATCTTCAGTTGACCACCTTTCTCCAGTTCTCAGATCAGCTTGACTTTCCCAGGGTCAAACACTTCTGCGCGGGCTTTGGGGGCGCCATCAGCGGTGAAGCAGGTTGATTGCAGCTACCGTACACGTGGCAGACGGGCTGTGCTGCCTTCGCAATGCAGAATACAATAACAAAGGCGCTGCCTCGACGCGCATGCGATTCGTAAATGCAGCATCGACTCAAGCTGGCAAACATGTGCATCGTGTGCGTCGCGACCAAGTCAACCGCAGTACAGCCAAAGTTACAGGGGAGAGGCCTCCATTCTCGTTCCTCCTTTCTCTCCTCTTGAACAGGTTGGCATGCACTCTCTCCCTTTAACTTCGGCTGTACTAAACGATTTTAAGTAAATGAAAGAAAACTTTTTTTTTTTTTTTTTGTAATAACTTGGGATGGCGTTTCCAAAGAGGTGGGTGCCGGCAGGGGATGCGCTTCCCTGGCTTGATTCCGACAAGCGCCGGGCCGCGGGCACCACGGGCACCGTGTGAAGTGTCGCAACTGTCGCTCGACACGCTGCGGACGCTGTACGCTGTCGCATTCCTCTGTGTGCACAGTGCTCCCGAAGGGGCGATCTCCCACCTTCTCTGCTCCCGTGACTCAACAAGTCGGAATCGCATAGATGGGCGCCAAGCAACAGGCAGGTGCGTCGAGGCTTGGTGGGTGCAACTGTCACTTCGCGTCCGAGGCATATGCTCTGCGCTCCTCGCGCATTTATAGCGGCAAAAGACTATATACCTTTCGCAGCTAATGGCTTTTTGCGCACCTCTTCGAAGTGTTGTGCTGGTTTACATGCTGTGCTTTCACCGGATCGTCTTTCATAATAAGCATGTCCGACCGTCAATACACTTCGAATAATCCGATTCAAAATGCATGCATTGCGATCGGGACCGCTTCAAACTTCGAAAAATGCGATAATTTGAAGGATCGTCCTTTGTAATAAGCATATCCGGCTGTCAATACACTTCGGATAATCCGGTTCGAAATGCATGCGTTGCGATCAAACTTGGAAAAATGTGATTATTCGTAAAAAGCGATTTCGTCATAATGAGGGATTACTGTATGTATATCCAAAAGATGCTTCGTTACCATGGCGACAGTGAGCATTGCTGACGGACTTCATTGTGCGGAAGGAGACGGCGGTCTGGCGAGATAAGCTGCATGCTTGGGCTTTTTCGCCATGCTTTCTGGCGAGTGGAACATGAACAAAAAGAGTTTGCAATAATGGCTAAATGCAGATGACTGATTTTTTTCTAGAAAGGTTTTGATGAGCCCGATGTGGAAAGCATGTTTTTCGCTCGGAGCTAGGATTAAGCTATCTTTATAGCAACATGAGGATAAACTACGATTCTGCCCAACATTGTATAACATCCTCGAAGTAGTGGATATCAAAATGTGAACACGAAGTGTGTGTCGTTAGCTTAGTGCCTGCGGTTACTAGCCGGCACTAAGCACTTGGCCGTGCTCAGTGCCCGCTGTGAAGCCTTCTCAAGCAGCTCAAGTGTCCTATGAACACTCACAGGACATCCCTAGTATGTCAGAGCTAAGTGTGACGCTAGGAATAATACTGGTCTAGGTGTTTGAAATACACTGATGTAGTGGATTGTTTTCCTGTAAGGACCGGCTTTATGACAAAGGTTTTACTCTACAAAATGTTGAAATTTGTCCAGACTATCGTCAAGAACGTTGGAAGCCAAGATTGGTGAATCACTGAATTTGCAGTTATTTATTTATTTATTCCCGTACCCTCAGGGTCCACGGGAATTAAAGAAAATAGATGGTAACTAAACATATAAAAGTAGACAAAAATATTAGTAAAGCACAGTCACGGGACACTTAGGCAAAAATAATGATCAACAGCACTTTTAAACAAATCTAATGTGGGTAATAACAATAATGACACAAGCAGGTGGTTCCACTCTAACGATGTTCTATGTATGAAGAAATCATTATAGGCTAGGTGTAATGATTAATGCGTAAAGAACTGCTGATTGATGCATGAAAAAAAAATAGAAAGGGTCAAAAAGGAGTTTTATTTTTCTTTTTTAACAGGATTAAGAATATGATCATGTAAAGAAAGTCAAAACTAGGTGATTTCCTCATTTTCTTTTCTTAGCGTACGTGTTTTGTTTTTGTTTTTGCAGTGTCTGGCCTTCCTGGACTTGCGACATCTTGCCGAGTACTCTCCCAAGAGAAGGGCCCAGGTGTTTGCAATCAGTACGCCCGGTGAGTTTTTATTTGGGAAACACACAAAGGGCTTTCACGTTATGAACCTAAGCCTGTTACGCAACACGTCACGCATCTTGCTTGGTGCATTTCTGGTTTCCACTTCTCGCCTCGCCATTCGCCGACCTCTTTGGCTTCTCCTGTGTCGTGCACGAAAGTTGAATTGTGGACTATTTTTTGGTAAGAAAACATTGACCTACATTTTGAAAAGATGCCATGTTGGCGGGTGCAAATTGGATGGACGGATGAATGTTAACGGCTGCACCCTTCATAACGGGCAGTGGCTCGCGCCACCTAACCTAACAACTAAAACGAAAACAAAATTTTTTTCTTCCCCCTTTTGAGTTATTTTTCCTCCCCTCTGCAGTTTTGTAATTATCACCAGGTGGTGTGGGATATCACCAGGATGACCTTTGGAGGATTGGGCAAAAAAAGAATATAAACGCACACCCCCCACTTCCTTCCCCCGGCGAGCGACTCGACCATTTCTCTCTGGTCATTTTCATTTTTCTCTGGTCGAACCTCGTCGGCGTCGCCCCGACACCAGACCCACCAGGGGACAGGGTCGTGAGCCAGGCAGGAGGGAGTCCCGATTTTCCTCTGTCCAGCCGATCCTTCAGCTACGATGGTTGTGTTTGCATGCATTGCTATCGAATGTTCCTGGCACATGCTTGGCTGGCGGAGACTGGCAGAATGTGCCTCAGACTAAAAATATCCATTTGTCCAGATCTTTTCTACGGCCTGTCGCGGGTTAAGAAAAGCGGGACAAGCCCCTTGTACAAAGTTCTCTGCTCGTCGTGGTTGGCGGTTTTGTTTTCTTCACTCCTCTCCAGCGTTTGCTCCGCCAAAGAAACACTGCCTGGCCAAAGTAGAAAGAGGGGAAAGCTTTTTGGGAGAAGCCTGTCCCACTGTTCTTAAAAGGGAGCTGCATCAGTTTCTTTAAAACACACTGAAAAGAAAAACAAAATACTGCAGATTGGGCGAGTTGGTAAGACATCATTACAAACCAGCGCACAAGTAGACAGTTATTCAAAATCCAAACACACAAAAAATACACTCACACAGCGCTGAACTATCAGCTGATTTGTATTTCAAACTTCCTCTTCTTCAACCCCAAGGAATAGGTTGCCAAGGAAGAAAAGGGGAAAGACAAGGCAAAGGGGGGAAGGCGAAAAAAAAAAAAAAAAAAGGAAAATGTTTGAGTGATGCAAAAAGTCCAAGAGTTACAAAAATTAGTTGTTAAATAATATCCGATGTAAACAAAAACCAGTGGTTATGCTGGCTTACTGTCTTAAACACATTCTGTCTAAATATTGCTGTTCTTTCTCCGATAAAGCGAAGGACGGAGTGCTAACGCACTGAGCTTCTCGTCTTGCAATGTTCTCCGCTTCTATAATTTCTCGGGTGAGCTGGTTTTTACTCCTGCCTAACACAGCACAGTTGTCCAGTCGCGCAAAACAGCCACAATCCCTACAGTGAATACCTAGGTGACCGGAGTTGGCATTGGCAATGTTGTTGTTGTGCTCTCGCAGGCGGTCGTTTAAACACCGCCCCGTCTGTCCATTGTACTCTTTTCCACAGGGAAGGGGAAACGAACAGACTACCCCTTCAACACATGGGACAAAGTTGGATCTGTGTATCTTTGCGCAGCTGACGGTGCTGATTGAGGAGGTGTTTACTTTTTTTGCAGAGGCTGTGAAGTTTTGTGAAGTTGTGAAGTATAACCACTGGTTTTTGTTTACCTCTGATATTATTTAACAACTAATTTTTGTAACTCTTGGACTTTTTGCATCACTCAAACGTTTTCCTTTTCTTTTTCTTTCGCCTTCCCCCCTTTGCCTTGTCTTTCCCCTTTTCTTCCTTGGCAACCTATTCCTTGGGGTCGAAGAAGAGGAAGTTTGAAGTACAATTCAGTTGATAGTTCAGCGCTGAGTGAGTGTATTTTTTGTGTGTTTGGATTTCGAATAACTGTCTACGTGTGCGCTGGTTCGTATTGAAGAAAAACAAAAACTTTTTAAGCAGTCTGGTTAAAGGCCGACGTACACATTGCGCTTTCCACTTTAGCCCTCCTCCTCCTTTCCTATATCCTCTCCACTCTTTACCTTGCCCCAACTTAAATCCCCTTGCAGCTTAGGAGAGGGGGAGCACTAAGAGGATTATCTTCCTTGCAGAAAACCGAGGTTGTACGTCGGCCTTTAAGGCACGCATGCCAAGAAATAAATTTTATGTGAAAAATTCTCTTTTTGTAGAGCAACATTGACAGCGCAAGATTTATTTTCAATTTTGCGCTCAAACTTCATGACGTCACGGAGTGGTCATACACTCTTTCCACCTCAACAAGATGGTCATGCGATCTCTACACCTCATCATGATGGCCAAGCTAATCCACCTCTCCTCTACACGCCCAAAATGCCAAAAGAGAAAACAAGTGGAAAGGAGGTGACTACTGACTAAATCGCATCTCGTGCTATCAATATTACTATAAAATTTTTTTTGCATAAAATGCAAAATTTTTTGCATAAGCTGTTATGCACTAGGATCTGGGAAAAAAAATTTGTCGGCGGATGTTGACAGAAGATTCCCCATTGATCGTGGCAAGTATGAATAAATAAAAATAAAAAGGGGGCAACCAGCGTGGGTCAGGCTTCCTTGGCATTATTAGATAGTGAGGTCCTGATCCCTTGTTATCATCCCTAGGCATCGTCCTCAAGGTCGTCCTAGAAGTCATCCTAGGCATCGTTGTCGAAATCCTCCTAGAAGTCGTTCTTGAGGTCGTCCTAGACGTCCTCAAGGTCGTAGCCGAGAGGTCGTCCTAGAAGTTTTCCTTGAAGTTGTCCGAGAGGTCATCCTAGGCGTCGTCCTTAGGCCGTCCTAGAAGTCGTCCTTGAGGTCGTCCTAGACGTCGTTTTCTAGGAGTCGTCCTCGAGGTCATCCTCTAGGCGTTGTCCTCGAGGATGTCCTAGAAGTCCTTGAGGTCGTCCTAGACATCATTCTCTAGGCATCGTCCTAGATGTCGTAAAAATAACAGCTTCACTGGTCCTCCATCTTCATGTGAAGTGGAAGAGCTCTGCAATTTTTTTTGACACGCATGTCCAAACCAGAGTGTTTGAAGGAGCATTTTTTTACTTTTCAGTGGCTCTTTAAGTTACCCAAACTAGAAACATGTTCGGGATATCCGGGTCTTACTATTGAGAAAACGGCAAATGGAAGTTACGCAATAGCCACCACCAAAAATTCCTGTGCTCTTTAGCATGCGACGTCGCACGTTGTACAACTTATGAGTCGAGCAGACAGCCTAAAAAGCTCAGCATTTTGCACATATCTTTTTGTTTTGCTGGCATGACCTTGACTGGCATTTGTTTCACACCGTCAAACTTCTTGTAACCCGTTTAAAACAAGCTGTACTGGCTTGTAATGCCTCGTATTACAGCACCTGACGTCACATTTTCAATCTTGCCAGTACAACCTCTCAGACCAAAGTTGTAACTTCAGTAACTTTGCAAAGAAGATAAATATTATTGTGACTTATAATTGGGGTTACTAGTGTTGATGTGGCTGTTAATGTGTTACCATGTTTGCTCGCATTATGAACGCACCCCCCACAACGGGTACTAATATTTTGACTTTTTTTTTTCCCTCTCATAATGAACGCACCTCCGATTTTCGGTTCCCCAAGTCTTGAATCGCATCCAACTCTGCTAACCACCGAGCCCGCCAATCCAATTTTCTTTTGCCGCCAAGCGGTCAGGCCAAGTCAAGCCAAGCCAAGCTTCTCTTAATGGCTGCAAGTCTGTAGTTGTGGAAGTGATCAAATGTGAAACCGAGCGGCATGCACATTTGCTGAAGCCTGGGTCGAGGAATTTCCCAGCCCCAAAAATTCTTTGCATATCACATGCATTGATGTCAACAAACATGCCGTCGTCTGTGGTCCGCTTTCCGGCAGTGTAAACTGCGGGACACCCGGTGGCGATGATTGTGGGAGTGGCTGAGTCCCTTATTAAGGTGTTCGGAGGTAGAACCAGTCCTAAGGCGAGGCAAAAACCGACAACCAGACCAGTGGTGGTGCCCTACATTCACGCCCTCTCACATCAAGTCAAGCGCGTGGCCAACAAGTATAAGGTGCCTGTGGTGTTTTCGGCGCCCCGGAAGTTATCTCGACTATGCTCCGCCGTTAACCGAGGGTTGACCAGGGATAACCACTGTGATGTTAAACACCGCGATCCGTTTGTCTCATGCGCAGTAGGGGTCGTATACCAGATCCCCTTCACATGTGGTCGGGTTTACATTGGACAGACAGGGAGGTGTGTGAACGTGAGGGCGAGGGAGCATTCCCTTGCTCTCCGTTCCTCACCCTCTGGCCACCTTGCGGTACATTGTAGTAGGTGCGGCTGCGTTCCCCTGTTCAATGAGGTGACGATCTTGGCGCGCAACAAAAACAAGACTGCCCGGGAGATTGATGAGGCCTTTTATATTTTATCAAGGGGGGAGAAAGAATGCGTCAGTGCTCCGTCGGTTAACTTGGGGGCTGACAAAGTGTTTTTTATCAAGAACTGTGGCAGACGTGTGTGATAGTGATATTGCGTGGTAGTGTCTTGTTTTATCGGGTTCTTTCCTTTTTTTGGCTTCTGTGTTTTTTCCTCTCCACACCCAGTGTTTACTTTCTGGTTCGCTTGAAAATAAACATTCAGTTGTTAGTCAGCGCTGTGTCTGTGCACTTCTTCTACTCGTCCTTCGTCGGTTTTTCCTGCGCTGTTCCCACCTATTAAGAAATTGTGAAAGTGGTTAGGCCTAAGAACGGTCGCGCTGCTCTCTGTTCTGAGTGAGCTTCGTAGGGCGCTTTTCCTTTGGCAAAATGCACGCCGAAAGTGCCCTAAAAAGGTTTAAAATTCATAAAGCACGGTTACTGTGGCGTGCCCTTGACCAGCAGTGGGTGCACCTCCATTAGTGGAGACGTGCTACAGTACCTTGCTGTGTCATATTGGCGCCTAATATGACATTTGCACAAAGTATGTACATGCAACAATTTTATCCCGCATAATGAACGTGCCCCTCCCCCCCCCTTCAAATATGTGTCAATTTTTCGGGGAAAAAAAGTGTGTTCATTATGCGTGTAAATACGATAATTCCAAACCTCCACCAGCCGTACGCACCTCTGTAGTAAATCGCAGCGCGATACATTGAGAAGCCAATTTTTGCAGCGTTATCGTACGTGCTCCACAGTGTGAGAGAAGGGAAGACGATGAAAAATCAATTGTTTTTGTAGGTTTGTCGGCACTTCAGAAGAAAATATAATTTTGCATCGCATGTTTTTTTACCCCATTGAGGTGGCCACCCCCTGCATTGGAATGCCCTCTGCGAGACGTGCCTGGGATTGGTGCGCAGCTTCTCGAAGGCGCTCAGCGACACAGAGGCACCGCCCCCTCTGAAAGCCACGCCCACCTTCGCAACACAGCGTAAGCCATTCAAGCCTGTGGCTATACTTTTGAGTCCTAGTGCTCGTTTATGGGTCTCTGGTTTGGACAGGGTATGAATCGTTCCCATGAAAAAAGGAACTGGGACAGCTCGGTGAGCTGTGCTAAGAAAAATCTCAGATCGGCAAAAAGAAGTTCATCATCATCATCATCATGTTTTTATTCAACAGTTGTCTATAATGAGGCACAACGTGCTGAAATGAATTAAATGCATATATAATCATTGTAAGTGCAATTCACTTATGATGATACCACATATAATGATCAGTTTCTAGAGTTTCTGGACTAGAAATGCTCTGTTTCTAGTTCAGATACAACAATAATTTGTTAGGACGACTGAATTTTTGCGTTTTCTCATTATTGCTATAAGTGGATGTACCATATAAAAGGAAACTGGGAAGCAGACAAAAGTAAAATTTAATGTTTAAGAAAAATTAGGTATCTCATTCATCTGCCTCTTAAAATTAGCATGACTGTCAAAAATATCAAGGTCTGCATGCCCAAAGTTATGTACACGCATCTGAATTCGCGTTATCGGCGATGACATACATTGATCGCGAAGGTAAAACGTAAGAGCATTGCTATAGTCCAGCTCCAAACATCCCTGCTTGCAGCATTACGCGCTTTGCGTCATGGTACCCCTCTGGCCATGGAGAGGAGCGGCACAGTTTTTGTTGCAATCGCCCTGCTTCCGAAGTGGTACGTCTCAGCACTTCTGAAGTAGTACGTCTCAGCAGTTCCGAAGTGGTACATCTCGGCACTTCTGAAGTAGCACATCTCAGCACCATAGCACAAAAATAAAGACGGCGCCTGCTTACATTGCACCTGTTCATCTTCGTGAGAGCCAGCATTGACACACGAACCTCCAGCGGCCGTGAGGACCTGCCCAGGCTAAGCGAGGAGTGAAAGTACAGCCGGCCGCGTCCCATACCCTTCTGGCGGCCTGGCTAGCGGTCAAGTGTGAAGCGTGACCCTTCCGTCAAATGGACAGTATAAGAAGCCCATTGAGGAGATTGAACAGAATGACTGGACCAGATTGTTCTTCTTCCATACGTGCCTTTGTAGTCCTGTCATCACGTGCACAAACTCTGCATTTTACTCATATTGGTGGGCAACTCCTACATGTTAATATAAATCTGAGGAAAGTCGCATATTCCAAAATGCAAGCACTGTGTTTGATCGTAACGGGGATGTCGTGAAGTGAGATTGGCAAATCGAAAGCGAACCTGTGGGCAGGAGGTGCTTCGCAAAGCAAGATGCTTCGCATGGCACTGTGCCGCTAGGATCACTTCGATTTTGCAAGATGTCTGTTCACACTGTAAGGAATGTGAGGAGTGTGTGGCGCCGGCGACAACCGGAACCGTGCGGGGACACTCCTTCCCTAGGGTGGATTCCTAGGGACAACACTTGTCCCCGCTCCCGCGAGTCGCGGGAAGGAGCGAGGGACGGCGGGGAGTGAAGGATGGCACTGGAGGAATAAAGGAGTGTAGCACGTATGTGAAAGTGTCCGCTCAGCCGAGCCAATCGTGACAAGTGGGGGCTCGTCCGGGATTGCACCATGGACTCCTTCACAGTGCCAGAGGGGCTAGTTCAGCAGCTCCTTCGACAGACCGACGGATCAGCGCTGCAACGTGAGCACGCTGGAGCACAATTGCGGCAAGCCGTAATGGCGGCTCCGATGCTGACCGGCGCCGAAGTGCCCGTGTGCGACTGTGGCCACAGTCCATCCCTCCGGTGGCCCTGTGCCCAGGATCGCGGCCCAGCTGCCGAAGTTCTCGGGCTTCAGCGATCTTCAGTCGCCCGAGGAATTTCTGGAGCGGCTCGAGAACTTTTGTTTGGTGACGGGAGTCGCCGCCGACAAACGACTGAGCCAGGTCGTGCCAGCCGCACTGGAGGGCAGTGCGAAATTGTGGTGGCGCTTTGTGGGCGACTTCGCCAGCTGGGATAACTTCACGTCCGCGTTCCGTGCGGAGTTCGCCTCCATCGACGCGAAGCGTCGCCTCAAGGATGAGCTGCGACTCCGTACACAGCACCCGGAAGAGAACTTGAAGGAGTTCATTTACACGATTGCGGCATACTACGACCGAATCGGAGAAGAGGTGCCGGACTCGGAGAAAGTGGACCGGGTCCTCCGGCAAATGCATCCGCAGCTGCAGGACTTGGCAGAGGGGGCGCAGTTCGCGAACCTGGCAAAGCTGGCGAAGGCGGCCGACGGCCTCATGCAGCGCGCTTGGCGACGGCTGCAGTACGTGCCGCCGCCTCCCCAAACCAACCAAGTGGCCAGAGACCTCGCCTTCAGGCCTGCAGCTGGTGCTCCGGGCCTTCCCAGACCGCAACCGGCGATGACGGCAGCTGCAACGTTTGCTTCCCCGGCCGCAGTTACGCAGTCGACATACCCCTGGCCACTTCACCCGGCAGCGATCCAGCCATCCTACCACTGGGACCAGTTTTACGGCCCAGCTTTACTGATGCTGCCCCCAGCCTCCTTCGCGCTGCCGGCAACCCAGTGGCAGCAGCCTAACGGAGGACAGGCTCACTGCCAGCGCTGCGGAGGAATCGGCCACGCCGCTCGTCACTGCGCCACCGGTCGGCGGGCTGCGTCAACACCCGCTGCGTCTCTTCTCTGCTTCCGATGCCAGCAGCCGGGCCACTTCCAAGCGCAGTGCCCGGGAAACGGGAACTGGTAGATGCTGCCCCGGCGGGCATCTACGACAGCGCGTTGCAGGTGGCGACAACTGCCGATGGGAAAGAACCCCTCTTGGACGTGCGGATTGGTTCGACGACCTTCCAGGCACTGCTCGACACGGGCTCCAGCGTTAGTCTGCTGGGACTCCCGGCGATGACAGCTGCCCAAGCTACAGGAGCCAGTCACAAGAGGGAAGTCCGCACGCTGCGCCTCGCAACAGGCTGGTCTCAGTCCTCCACATCGCTCAGGTGCAAAATCCAATGGGCGGCCGGTTCCAGGAGGCAGCGCTTCCTGTTTGTGCCCGACCTTTGCCGAGACATTGTCCTGGGGAGAGATTTTTTGACGATCACCGGCATTTCAGTGCACGTGGCACTTGGGGGGTGGACGATTGGCACAGAACCCCAGTGCATTGTTCCGTTTGCTAAGGGTGAAAAGAGGCCAACTGAGGAGCCTCTGGCCGGGGAGGATTCCTACTGCCTCCAGGGCATCTTCACGGAGGAAGAACCTGCCTGCGCCAGCTCCTCTGACCAGACCACCTCCAGAGGTGATCGGCCTCAGAGTCATGCACCGGAAGTGGACACTTGCATGGAGAATGTGCTGGTGGACTTTCGGCCGATGTTTACCACAGCTCCGGGCTGCACCACCCTCGCTCATCATCAGATAGACACGGGAAAGAGTCCGCCCGTGCGCTGCAAGCTGCGCCCTGTCAACGCCAAAAAGCAGAAGATCATTGACGGCTGTGTGCAGGACTTGTTGGAACAAGGACTCGTCCGCCGAAGCTACAGCCAGTGGACAAGCGCACCAGTGTTGGTGGCAAAAAAGTCAGGTGGCTTCAGGCTTGCCATCGATTATCGGCCACTCAACGCATGTACCAGGGTACCAGTCTACCCCATACCCAGGACGGACTGGCTGCTGGCACAATTGGGTCGAGCAGAGTGGTTTTCGAGTTTCGACCTGTCTCAGGGTTTTTTTTCAAATTCCTGTGTGCAAAGAGGACATTCCCAAGACCGCCTTCATCTGCCACCTGGGAACCTTCGAGTTCACACGGATGCCATTTGGAGTGGCAGGGGGCCCAGCCACCTTCCAAACCTTGATGGACAAGGTTCTGGACGGCATAAATCACCAATTCACCATGGCATTTATGAACGACGTCCTCGTGTATTCGGATACTCTGGAGAGCCACGTCACGCATGTGCGGGAGGTGTTGCAGCGCATCAGGTCAGCGGGACTCACCATCAATCCAGACAAGGTCCAAGTCTGCCGTCGGTCTCTGAAGTTCCTGGGCATCGTGATCTCCCCAGGGGAATGCAGACCCGACGATGAGAAGGTGCTTGCTGTGTTGGACTACCCTCGGCCCAGCACACTCAAGCAACTGCAGGCCTTCCTGGGGTTATCCGGCTACTACTGGAGCTTTATTCCTCAATTTTCCATTGTTGCCCGACCACTCACAGACCTCTTGAGGAAGGACCATAAATGGCACTGGACTCATCGTCAGGAGCAAGCATTTGCCGCACTCAAGGAGTCCCTGGCCCACGACGTGGTTGTGAGTCTTCCCGACCTGAATCAGCCCTTCGTCGTCGAGACTGATGCCAGTGGAGTTGGCATTGCGGCAGTGCTGCTGCAGAGGGGCCCAGACCAGCTACAGCCAATGTCGTTTATCAGTAGAGTGCTGACTGAGTCGGAGCAGAACTACACCGTTCAGGAGTGGGAGTGTCTCGCGGTGGTTTGGGCTGTGGACAAATTCCGACCCTACCTGGAGTTCACAGAGTTCGAGATCCACTGCGATCACTCCTCACTGGCCTGGATGTTTAGTACAGACCAAGCCTCACCAAGAGTCAAGCGATGGGTTCTTCGGCTTCAGGGCTTCAACTGCTAGATCAAGCACCGGAGGGGGCTTGCAAATGTCCCAGCCGACGCCCTCAGCAGAGCTCCGCTTCAGTGTATGGACACCCCTGGACACAGCCTGCCAGAGACGCTTTTCCCCATTGCTGCCCCGGAGACTGAGTGCCAAATCAGTTTTGAACCAGCTGCGACAGTGTCCATGATGGACGATGCCACAGCCCTGAGTGACCCGGGAAGCCTGGTCCACGAGCAGCATCAAGACGCCCTTTTGTCCAAGCTCAGAATGGTGATGCAGGGAACGAAGCTCCCAGACGACAGTACAGACCAACGCCTGCTGGACGACCTGGCTGAGACGACAGAGCTGGAGGCCAATGGGTTGCTCGTTCAGCACAGAGGTAACAAGAAGGTACCCTGGCTCCCGGACCAACTTCGCCAGTTAGTGCTCAAGATGGCA